GAGAGCACATATGGTAATTATAAAGAGAAAAAAAAATTACATGTAAAACACGACGTCTCAAGCACGAGGAAGATTGCAAGCATTCAAGATGTGAAAACTAGTTTGACTTTGTTCTACTTACTCGTAAGTACAGGCAGGTAGACGAGCAACGACCAAACGACTCTCCGTGCACACTCGACTCAATGTACCGCTGTTACTGTCGCTGCCTTCGGTCTCCGTACGTCCGCTTAGTACGGGAATTGTCCGTCTGGCTGGTTCGCGTGCGTCGTCGTTCCCAATCCTCAGCGCAACGGCAACAACTTTCTCATTTCAACGTGAACACGCCGACCGACGTATCGCCGCGGCTGTCGCTGCGATGCACACGTCATACATATGCGTAGAGAGACGTCAGGATGGACGCGCGCACGTCTCTAACGGAAGTTCGAGGAGAGCTCGAGAGTGACTCCGCGATAAATTCGCACTCGCACTCTCTCTCTCTATCTCTGTCTCTCTTGAACGCACACTTGAGCTTTCGACGCTCTCGCCGAACGGAGACGCGCACACACGCTTCGTTTCCGGGTTTACGACGACCAACCGCGATCGAATATGGCTCAGCCCTCCTCGGTCGGTAGGTACGTGAGCTGTGAGCGTGGATGTCGCTCGAGCCGACCAACGGGAATAGATTCAAACTAACGGTACATACATATAGCCGTCTGACACGCCATTACGATGGTGGCCACACCATCGGTAAATGACTTCGAGTCGGAGGCCGCCGCCTCGACTGCTGGCCGTAACGTGTTACGAGTGATACCACTCAACGTCACTCATTCGGAAAGTTGGATGCGCGACGCTTCGATCAGCTTCGATCAGCTTCGATTGCGGATTGGCAGATTGGTAGATTGGCTTCGATTGGACGACAATGACAACGCGTGCTTCAACGCACTCATCACTCGTCACTACATACCTACTCCACGTCCAGATCCAGCGTCGCCTAAATCTCTCGGATCGATCTTTCGATCGAGAGGATACACGCGCTCTCTAAGCTGCTGTTAATATTTCTATCGTTAAAATATTAATTATGGCGACAGTTGTTACGTTGTATAGAGTAGGGTACAAGTGATAATGAAGCAATTAGAATGTGGCGTATTGGCGCTTGCGCGTACTTGCCGATCAAGCTGATCGTTCTCGCAAACTGATGTTCCTTATCGCATTCGTAAACATTTAAATTTCCTTTTCGCATCCAATTATCTCGTACAATTTAAATATTATAAACACATCCGTTCGTCACTCCATCACGTTGATCCCTCCTTTCCTCACTCTTCCGAGTTCCAAATTCCAAATTCCGTCACGCCACGCTTTACGCGAACACGGATCCACAGATCCACGGAACAGAGCAATTCGATTCGACCCGTACCTAGCGGATACTCAACTCACTAGAGGTTAAGTTAAGTAAAGATCCAACATTGATTGTCCTGCCATCTTTTTTGAGCCTCGAATGCGCACGAAACATTCTCGAAACATCGCCGCTGCTGAGGATCGATTCTGCATCTTGAAACGAGATGAAAATCACAAAAGTGAGCGAATTTACTAGAATACTAATAATTTCATTGGTCAACATCTAGTAAATTTGCTCACTTGTAATTTTCACTTTGTTTGAAGTTACTGAATCGATCTCCTGGTGGTGGTATATTCATACCCTGATAGTAAAATGTTAGCAATTTGGGGCCAAATTGGCAGCAAACTTTATCAGATTTTGACTACAACCATCTGTGCCCGCATTTGGATTTGTCGACAAAGCCTGTTGACAGGCTATGCCAGCAAATTGGTGGCAGAAACCGAGCAGAGTCTGCTCTCAATCTGCCGTCAGATTATGCAAGACTTTGCTCGGTTTCTGCTATCAATCTGCTGGCATAGCATGTCTAGCAGGCTTTGTTACATTTCTGGCAGCAATTTGCTGACAGTGTCAGATAATACAAATTTTGTATACAATTTGGTGTCTTTTTGCAATCAAAAATTGATAACAGGCTCTGTTCAAAATCTATCTCCGCAGGCTTTGCTATCAGAGTAATTGTGATACTTTATGTATAAAAATGCAGGCTCAACATGTCATGAACCAATCAGAGAGCCGCAATTATTGGCATCCCAAGACATTGAAACACTCTTAAAATAATTAAGAACTGACTACGAGTATCGGCCCAAAATTCAACAGTCATCTCTACTCGTGAGTCTGGATCTACAATAGATGTATCAAATTTCAATTTAAGCCTTAAGAAACTGACGAATCATAATCGATTATGCTCCATAATACTCGCTCCTTGCCAATACTTTCTTTTCAAATTCACCTGTTGATTATTCATATTTTTGCAATCCCAATCTTTCATACGCGCGTTCCGAGTTGCCGTGCATCAAATTCCACATTACATCACATATGCCAATGAAAATTCGCATCCATAAGAATGTAATGATAAGCCTGGGATGATTTATATGAGAAATAATTCAAATAAAGAATATTACAAATTTGCATGGTTTTACATTCATATACTCTCACTTACACACAATTATATGCGCTAATAAAAGATGCTTAATATTCTTTAACGATTATACATTATTGAATCTTATATCCATAGATGCTGTTTCCGATTAAAGTTTCATTACCAATTTTATTGCTGTGATATGCACGCTTCACCATTATCCAATCGATCTCGATTGGAAAATCAAAAATTATCATATATATCACATAGCAGAAGAAAAACAGCGAGACTTAATTTAAATCTCAAGATGCTTTACAAGTGAAACGTGTGTTCGTCAATAGAGATCTGGTCTCCTTTGCATACGTTCCATGTATAAAGAAAAGAGCAATTTATTGCTCTCGTAATAAAAAGGATTTTCTGTCGCATTTAAATCTGGTCTATAATCACTGATAAAACTGCTTTGGCTGGAACCACAACTGCCTCTGGGTGATGAATTTTGAGATATCTCTGAGCAGCTTGGAGATGACATGAAATTTCCACTTTCCCAATCAGTTTCCATATTCTCCACTGTGTTTTCTCGTAGGCCAGATAAACCATTGATATGAAGATTATTAATTCGTTTGCTCAATGGCATAAAGTCGCTAGATTCCTCTTCTATGTTGCGACACCTCTTCCTAAATGATTCAAATAGAAAATTATTACAAAATCATAATAAGTTATTAGGGATAAAAAATATGTTTTTCAATTTCTTTTTATATATTTGTCTTTTCAAATACATTTGTACACACATGTATATATTAAATAGGTAATTTTATTAATACAGAATATCCCACCTAAAATCTTAAAAATATATTTATTTATTCGACGCGTTTTCACTTAAAACGCAAGATTCTGGCAACAAAAGAAACGCAGCGATCAGCTTCGTGAATCAAGTTATTAAGCATTAAAATTAGAGACTTTAAATGTTAAAATATTTGTCATCCTGACTCGATACAGCATTATATATAATATGTATACGTTTGGCTTTAATTACACAAATTCATTGTTTTAAAAATTCACTGCTTTACAAATATAAATTCTTTCCATTAGCAGTGAATTTGTGTTTTTAAAATGGTGAATTTGTTTTCAAAACAGTGAATTTGTGTAATTAATACAGAACGTATATACATAGCGCTATATTGAGTCGGGATAACAGATATCTTAATCTCTAAAGTTTTCAACTTTAATGCTTAATTCGATTCATGAAGCTGAATGCCACGTTTTTCTGCCAGATTCTTTCGTTTTCAGTGAAAACATGATAAACTCGAATGAGTATATCTTTATTACGATTTTAAGTGGGGTGGAATATTTTAAATAATTACCAAGCAGGTATCATAATTTATTACATCAACGTTTCGCAAACGTTTGAAAGACAAACCTGTTTGTTCGCGTCATCGTTGATCGACTTCCACGAAGATTTCAATAAAAATATTCTTTCACTTGATACATGTTGCGCTTGTCATTTCGATATTTCGAGATCAATTATTTCCAAATGTTTACTAAATCAAAATATAAAAACTATAAAGTACAATCGCTTCAACTTTCGAGACCCTTAGATCTGATGAGATCTGACAAATATGCAAATAACTAACAACCGGAATTCGAGATAATTCAGAAAACTAACCTGCTTTTGAAACTTCCTAATCAGTCAAAAACTGTCAACATTGTAAAGACAATTGACTATACATGAATAACGAAAAAAGTACGTAGAGTTGTTACTTCTGTTCTTTATATCGTTTATTCTGATTACACAGTATCAAAGTTAAGATGCATTCACATGCAAGCAACGGAAGCAGCAACCAATCAACGAGGCGATTTTATAGTGGCGCAAAAAATATTTTTTTTTACACTATTGCTCGTATCGCCCAACTGATTGGTTGCTGCTTCCGCTGCTGGCACTAACAGCATCGCAGCCAATACGGTCGCAAGATTCTAATTCAGCTAATAATCCAGCAGGAAAATAAGTAGCGTATGCCGCAGGCTTAAGTCCGGATCCTCAGGCTGCTTTCACATGCATAAACGTAACTTGCATTACGAGATACTATTAAAGATCGACATCCTTATGGATGTTCACGTCCTTATAAATATTGAAGTGATTAAGAGTTAAAAACTGTTAATATTATACTAATTTTATTATTTATTAGTTTAGTAGACATATTTATGCATTTAGAACTCAATAATACTCGGTTTTCTTTAAAATTGTGATTTCAGTGTTATCGTCAAAGTTTGATTATCAGTAGAGATGATAACTGCAAAAAAAAAAGGAATTTTTCTGCAATATATAGGATATTATAGTTTTACAAGTTATGCATATTTATTTATGAAATATTTATGTAATAAAAAATCATGAATTTATTAATATATGAGCCAAATATTTATGTTAATAATAATAGCAAATTTATAACAATTGTCGATAATGTCAGCATTCTTTAATTACCTTCGTGTATCAACCAATCAAATCGTATTAAATTGTATCAGTTACTACGCATTATTCTAGTTGAAATGATTTGATTGGCTGACGCAAGTTACGCTTACGCTAAATTAGTTCTATATTAGTTGTATCGCAGTGTCGCAAGCGTTGTGGTTCAATCAGAGTCGAACTAAATTGATATTGATTGGGCCGCAACGCTTACGACGCTGCGACTAATGAACTAGCTTTACATGCGAAAGCAATCTTATACGAGCAACAGCACTTTGACACCGAACGCTGATTGATGCAAAACGAATGATCAGGGATTTTATCCCTACAACCAGCTTTTCGTCAATCTGCGTTCGGTATCAAGGTCCCTATTCTCGAAAAGTATCGAAAAACTAGGAAAATGCTATAATATATGTAACGCATATTATACTATGCCCTTTTTCGTATGTCCAATTGAATCTAATTGAATCCAGTTAAATTCAATTAAATCCAAAAAAGTATTTGCTATTTAAAATACGCATTCAGATAGAAAAAAATTTCAATCCATTTTTAATTCTTGTTTACAGAATATGTAAATAAAGATATATAAAGGTACATAAAGATATATAAATACATTATATACCTTTTTTGTAAACAAGAATCTCGAAGAAATTCCATACTTTTAGCATGTCTCCACTTATATATATTACTTTTTGAAGTCGACCCACTCGGTAGTTTTCCAGAATTTATCAATCTTCTATAGTATCATGGAGATTTTTAAACTTATTTTTACATCTAATTGTATTCAATTTTCCTGTTAAAATATTCTATATAAACAAATATTTCTTTTCTTAGAATATCTATTAGAAAAATTAGATAATGTATACATTACTGTATAAACATATTTCTTATTTTATAGCATTTATAGCGTTTGATTCTTGCCACAGACATTTTATAATTTTATTATTTCGTTGAGCGAGAGGTAACCAGAAATTCCACAATTGTGGTCTTGTATTTCTAACATTAATATTTCTTCTTCTTCAGAAGATAATTTTTCTTTCTTTTAATCTGTATTTGATCTTAGCTGGATATTTTTTGAATCAGTAATATATGTATATTAGCTAAATATAATGTGTTTTTATTTAGTAAATATTACATTATATTTAATAAATATTTTTCAAATTTCAAGGAATCATAATACTTATCTTACCAATATTATTGCTCTGCAAGAATAATGCTGCTGTTATTTTTGAGCTTTGAACTTCTTAAACTTCTCCTGACAATTATTTCCCCATCGTCTTAAATATTATACAATAAATTTAATATTATTTGTGTAACTAATTAAAATAGTTAATTAAAACAGTTTATAACAATTCTTTACCTAATAAGGGATAAAAGTATAAATTTTCATCAGTAACTAGAATATCCTCTCAAACACTCATGTGTAGATATATCATTGAAGTTACAAATTGTTTCGCACAATCCATACATTGAACATAAAATATGTTCTATAAAAATATATTTTGAATAATTTTTCAATAATAAATTACTTTTTTAATTATTTCTTATTTAAATACTTGCTTGCTACTATTATTTGTTATTATTAGATATAGATATTATCGCAAAATATTATTTTTATACTTTTGATATAACATAACCTATATAATATATATAGTAAGATATAATCACCATTGCACTTTTTATTTAAAATGTAATTATTAATTATTTAAAATTTTATATATGTTATTTACAATTTAATTTTATATATTTCAATACTTACCTCTTCATCCATTTTAATATTTGATTATCATAATGCTATCACTTAAGCGATGTCACTTGCCGTTGGAAAAATTCAATTACATAATCACGTCGCCAACAATTACATGACGTCATTATATCGCTGGAAGATGAGCGATGAGCGACGCATGAAAAGGTATCTTTAAGGTGCGATTACATGGAGCACGGTACGCAGTACGCGGTATAATAATTAATAGTAACTAATTAAGCAATTGGGAAACCATGTACTATTTAATATCAGCGAAAGAAATATGCAGTACATGATACGCGGATTTCTAGTTGCCTAGTTAGTTACTATTAGTTACTGTACCACGTACCGCGTACCGCGCTCCATGTAATCGCACCTTCACTTTATCCTTGTTGTTAATCGAGTGTTAAACAAGAATTAAATAATATTCTCTGCGCTAACCGCTGCGTAAATGAAGGCACCTAATTGCTATCGCACGTCGGATCCAGTGAATCAGCATATCAGTTAGCAATAATCATTTGTTAGTGATTATTTAATATGATTGGTTCTTGCCTTTAGTTCTTTGCTGAGGCTTATGACTCCTGTACACAAAATGCGGCAACGCTTGCTGCGCAGCGGAAGTTGGCGCGATAGCCAATCAATATCTCACTTGCTCAGAAATAATTTCCACTGCGCGACAAAAGTTGAACTCAATCTAACTTTTGCCATGCGGCAGAAGTAATACATTATTTCTAAAAGTTTTGCATGTGGCCAATTTAAGAATATAGAATTATTGGTTAGTGCGATAACTTCCGTCGCGCGGCAAGCATTGTCGCGTTCGTGCAGAGGTGCGATTTCGTAATTGTCTTTATATTATACATCCTACCGACAGTCATTGGTGTCGTTGCGCAAATATTTTATATGGTGAAAAAATTGCGCAACGACATCGATAATTGTTGAGAGCGTAAAACACTCTCCTATCGACAGATTACGGAATCGTGTCCCAGGAGTCATTAGATGTCGAGTTCAAATTTCCACTCTAGTGTCATCCAAGTATCACTCTTTGTTATTTATCGTAGATTAGACAAGGACATGACACCTGGGGAGCATCTAGATGGGAATCTGAACATGCCTACCTAGAAATGATGTAATACTACTTCCGCCGCGCAGCAAAAGTTGGATTGGGTTCAATTTTTATCATGTGATAGAAATTGTAAGTTTATTCGCGTCGCATACTGCAACATACCCAACACGCTCCAATATGTTCGCGTCATCGGAACCAATATGGCGACTAGATGTTCGCGTCGCGTTAGAGCATCTCCATGGATCAATTAAGAGCTCCATTTGCCTCACTTCAGAAGTACGATTGGGACATGTTACGCACGCATGCGTAATGGTTGAAAACGTTCTGTATTGAAAAAAGTATTTCAGATTCATTTTTTGTATAAATTAAATAAATGCAATCTTGATATAAATATAAAAATATAATATAACAATATAGTGTAATATTAATAAAATAAAATAATAAAATAAAATAAGAATAATTAAATAAAATTAATAAAATTAGAAAAATTCAAAAAATAAAATAAAATAATATTGATACAATAAAATATAATATAATATAAAAATATAATATAATTTTTATATAGAAAAGTAAGCTTATGTAAATGCAATGCAATAAATTAAAATGTCTAGGCTTTTTAAAAAACCGAACAAATGTTAACTAATAAAATTCGTCTTTTATGACATTCATATAACGCTATAAATTTCAAACATTTCGACTAATAAGATTAGCCTAGAGCGATAATTTTTATTATGTATCATATATTAGTTCATTGACATTGGATGGGGTTATATAAATATGTTTTCTTTATTATCACTGATAAAGACTTTGTAAGTCGAAACATTTGAAATTTATAGCGTTATACGAATGTAATAAAAGACGAATTTTATTAGTTAACTACATTTGCTCGTTTTTTAAAAAAGCCCTGACATTTTAATTTATAACTTTTATATTTATTAAAACAGCATTTATTTTGTATAAAAACGCTTTTCAAGTAATCGAGGTAACACAAAATATCCGAAACGAAACGAAGTACATGTCCGACCCATTCCCCAATGATCTCATGGATTAGGTTAGTAACATGTCCACTTGTCTTAAATCCGTTCGTGTCACTGAACATTAGAGCACATGAATGCAATTTCAATCTTATCTGTGATCTAAGCTCTCTGGGTTAATTTTGAGCATGCGACGCAAACATACTTTGTATATCTATTATTTCCGAATAAGCGAGATGTTGATTGACTATCACGCCAATTTTCGCTGTGCGGCAAGCATTGCCGCGTTCTGTGTGCAGGATCCCATAAGAGTGCGATTACGGATGTATTCCGAACCGGATTAGCTTAGCTTATTTTTTTCCCTTAGATGTTGGTAATTTCGTAACTGAGAAGTATTTCGAATCCGTCGGCTGTCTTAACTCGTAACCAATATAAATCAGTAGCTAAGTTTGACGGGGTTCGGAACACTTCTTGATTTAGATATTTAGATACGGAATCACAATATATACAGTAGCGCAACTCTCTGTCGGCACCTTTGATATATTAGTATTGGCCAAAATGGAGTGCGCATGCGTGAAATAAATAAGCGTTATCACAATTATCACCTAAACTCCTTCTTTTCATCTGTTTTTCACTCTGTCAAAATTCCTTGCAAAACTCACAAATTTATTGGCATTGCAATCCAATTCATTGAAGTGAGTAAGTGCTATTGTAGGAACATATTAAAGCATATTAGAGCATGTGAATAAACCTAATATTTTAATGAAATAATTTCAACTTTATGAAAATTAATAAATAAATTGTAAATTAAAAATAAATTGTAAATATATTGAAAAATAAAGAAAAAATACGAAAATAGGAAAATTAGAAAGATAAAAATAGGAAAGATGTTAAATTAACTTAAAAATATATATTTGTATAAAGAAATTATGTAATTATATATCTATGAAAATATTATGAGAAAGCTGATATAAAAGAAATTTATATACATATATGTCCAAAAAGTAAGTTTAAAATACAATAAATAAAAAGGAATCTTTTTTGCTCCGTTTTCTATATTACTTTTGTTCACTTTTTTCACTTTTTCACAAAAATTAGACTAATCACTTGAGATTTTTCACATAACATTTCACTAAATGGACAATACTTTCCTTTAAATTTCCCTTCCCTCTACTTTGAATCATGTACGCTTGAAAGACAAATGTTTAAGTGGAACATTGAAATGTTTATTTAAATAGATAGAGAGAGAGAGAGAGAGAGAGAGAGAGAGAGAGAGAGAGAGAGAGAAATATAAGAGAAAAA